AGCGGAACAAGGCATAAAAATCGGAACCGTTTCGATAAAATCTGCACACTTGGCAGCTATGACCATGGTTTTGGATATTTAGGTAAATTAGTAGAAGTACATGGAATGGAATTTTCAGATGCGTTTATAAGAGAGCTTGTAATATGTTGCGCAGCTTCTTCAATATTACCATTAACAACAATTTCTTCATTGAATGTTAGTGACTCTTGAAAAAGTGACCAATTTGCTAAATGTGTTAGCAGTCTAGGGAAATGCACTGTACTAGTATTCCGAGGTTTTAAAATATTGATGATTAGAGGAAAATGGTCGCTATGATAAAGGTCATTCGAAACAAAAAATTGCAACAGGGTATAAATGTGTGGTGAACACAGTGTCAAATCAATGGAATGGAATGTACAAGATGGAAAGTGGAAATGTGTTTTTTCATCCGTATTTAGTAAACAGAGTTGGTGGTCGTCTATTAATGTATCAATTTGATTCCCACGAGAATTTGTAGTATCACTGCCCCAAGTTGTGCTATGTCCATTTAGATCACCTGTGATTATAAACGGCTCTGGTAATTCTGCTATTAGGTTGTTAAGATCTGATTGCGATATTGATTGGTTTGGTGGAAGGTACAGACTGCATATTGTGATGAGTTTTGATTGAAATGTAACTTGGGCTGCTACTGCTTGCAAGGTAGTTGTCAAGGGAACAGGCGAAAATGGATAACTTTTTGAAATCAAGAGAGATACACCTCCGCATGGTAAATTAACATAAAACCCACGACAATTCCATTATATAAGTCTCTCGGCCATTTTTATTTTTAATGTTTTTTGGTTTAAGGTTTTCTGGAGTTTCCAATCCTTTTTCTATTTGCATTTGAGAGTTTTGAGAAGCATCTGAGTAATTCTCGTTGTCTGTAATCATTGTATCCGATAAAAGCTGATCCTGTTGGTTATTTGATAATTTTTTTCGGTTTTTATTAAAACGATTTTGTCTGCTTTTAGATATATATTTCGGTTTACTTACCAATGGGGATTGAGTTAATTTTTTGTGAAGAACATTGACCATTTGTGGGGTTATTTTCAGGTATTGACTGTTTTTACTAGTGTTTTGAGATAATAACTGATCAGAATTTGATGGGATTGAGATTTTGGATTGCAGAGAAGTTTGTGCAGATTTTGATTTTAACGCATTGGATATCTGAGAAGGAGTTGTTGTCAGAGCTTTTGGACATTTGGGTGATACTGTGCGTTTTGTATTGCGAAGTTCAGATTCACTATTGTCGGTCTGTATACCTATGGATTTAGTTGCTTTTGGAGTTTTAACCACTGAAGCATATGAAACATTAAGTCTAGGTTGTGAGCTTAAAAATTTGCTTTAGGCCTCAAAATATGACAAGTTTTGCATTACTTTTATATTTAGTATTTGTTTTTCCTGTTTCCATCTAGGGCATTGACGAGAATTTGCAGAGTGAGATTCAAGACAGTTAGTACATTTTTCTGGCTGATTACAGGTTTTGAAACTGTGACCGGTTTCACTGCAGCAAGAACAAGTCTCTTTTCCTCTCCTTGTTCGTAGAATGGCCGAATTTTTGACATTTGAAGCATCGGAGAGGATTGGGAATGTATGGGCGAACTTTACAGTTTCGGTACCCTGCTTTAATATCATCAGGTAGTAAAGAAGTGTTGAATGTTAAGATTATGTGTTGAGTGGTAACTATTTCTGGACCATTTTTAACGGTTATGTGCCGTGCATCTATAACTCCTTATCAGAGATCACACCTTTATTTAGAGTATTGTGAGGGGTTACTGAGATTTTAACGTTTCAGAGTTCAGATAATTTCAAAAGTGAAGCTGTTTGTTTGTTGGAATTAGTTTCGATTAACAAGTATCCTGATGGAATCTGTTTGACATTTTTTGGATTACCAATATTTGCTTCAAGTGCTTTTTGAACTAAAAATGGTGACATAGACGAGAGTTTCTTTTCTGTAGAGCTTAAGATCAGAAATTTTTCTGTAGTGGGGTCGTAATTTGTGCATTTAGCAAGATTGAAACTAGGTGAGGAAATTGTTTGTTTCGGTGTGCAGAACTGAGCACCATCTGTTTATTTTCAACCATAGAAAAAAATAATCAACTTCCACTATCAACTGCACTACCTACCACGGAGTCCAACTTAGGGAATGTAAGTAACAGTAAGAAATTCGCTACTTAACACCGATGCTAGCCAATAGCTATACGCCCGTAAGTCACCCCTGAAGCAGCCTCCACCCTTAACGAGGTGCCCAGTAAGTGACCCCGGGCTTGACCCTAGCCATCAGATGACGTTTGTGACAAGCCGATTGATGCATACGGATCACTATGCAACTCCCGTGTATCTGAAGCAGGGGCCAAAGCAGTGTGTTGGGGTACCAAGATGCCCCTCAACTACCAGGATCCCCTTTTCCAGGGACACGGGTCTCCACGCACGGCGAACACGCGGGTGGTGAGTTCGACATAAAACCGAAACAAAGACGAAAAGCCCTTTACCAGTCAATTTGGCAACCACGACAAGAGTGAAAATTTAATGAATAAATATAATACAAATGAAGAAGTGGAACATAATTAATAAATATACATATATATATAAATGCAACAAAAATAATGCATAATCAAAAGTATAAAAACTCATAAATATTTGCTCACTAGATCAATGTAATAAATAATGAAAGTCAAACTCAAAACAGGACCGTCGCAGGNAAAACAGGACCGTCGCAAGAGAGAAATAGAAAAATGCTCAGGTCCAGCTCGGGGCCCCGGGTGCGCCGTGCCCGTCACACAAGAGTGTGCCCCTGGGGGCCAGTTTGTAAAGAAAAGCTTAAAATTTCCTGTACTTTCCAGGTTTCCCCTGAGGAGTGGAAACCCTGAATTATTTCTATATTACTTTCTTTACCAATAATAATAAGAGCAAAATTAACTACAGTGGAACCAGTTAAAAAAGTTTTTCAAGGGAAAGAAATAACTTATTAAATGGGAGAACTTCTTAAACGGTTGAAGGTTAGAAATACACTAATTTTTCGTTTTACCAATAACTAAAATCAGTAAATTTTCTGTACCATTCATACCAGCCCCAACTAGAAGTGTTAAATGTTTGTTACTGTTTTTTCCTCCATGGCAGTGTTTACTTTTAATTAAAAGTATATGTTTTATTGGGTAAAAGATGGAAAAACAGTTAACATTCATCCATGTTAAAAATGTCCTCTGGTTGATAACCTGAAATAAGTTCAGGAAATTTAGCTTTCCATTCTTCAGCTTCTTGTTAATCAACGCTTTTACAATCTCCTTTAATTGTTTTATATGCAAATCCAGCTCGTTTTTTCATCTGATCAATCCATCCATTAGAAGGGGCGAAGTCAACGTTCAATTTCTTCGCAATCTCTAAGGCGTTCCCTCTAAGTCGAATTCCGTTGACAGGAATGTTCGAGGATCTTGCTTGCGTAAACCACATCAGTTTTTCTTCAAAATCTTCGTATTTTCCTCTTTTCACTATTTTTTCTTTCTTTCTGGGGATGCACCGGAACAAGAAGAGTTTAAGATGTCTTTCTGGCAATTTAACGTAGCAACGTGGGGGAGATTTAAATTTTTCGCTACTTGAACTCTTGTTAATTGAGAATAGCTGTCAACAGTTTTTTAAATTTTTACTTGGTCCACAAGTGTTTTACGTTTAATACCTTTACAGGGACATTTTCACCAAAAATCTATTTTATTTTCTACAATATTTAAGATAAAAATTACCATGTAATAAAAGAACTGCATTTTAATTATTTTTTTGTAATTACTATTATAATATTATACATAACTTTAATCTCTTGCACATTATTTAAATTATATTAAATTTTTTAATTAAATTTTATTTAAAGTAAAAAATAAAACAAAGATGAAGAAATAAAAATAAACGAAGACACATAGAGGCTGCACATAAACTGCTAACTAGCAAGCAAACAAAATATAATTATCAATTCAAAGATAAGTGTATATAGTAATATAGTAATCATATATCTTGTATTTTAATTGTATTTATTCATTTATTATATTTTTACTGAATATAAAAGGAAATGTTACATTTTAAAGCTCCAAAAATGACTGAAAATAATAAATTCTATAAATTCAGAAGGATAATTCTTAGTGTTTTACTTCTAACTAACATAATCAACTATGTATAATATAACAGGATTGCCTACTAAATTTAGAAAATTTCCTGAACTTTTCAGATATTTCAATGTAAATCCAGACCATATTTTACATATGCCATGCGATTATTCATCAAAAAACATTGAAATTTGTAATGTCAAATATTAGATTATGTGTAAATTATATTAGATTTAGTGGTCAAAAAAATATCAGAGAATAAAAATGCTAACATAGAAAAGCTTCACTAAAATGTGGAATTTTTATAACTAATTGTAATAGATGTTGAAATTATTTCAATCTAATCTCAATAACTGATTACAGTTACTGATAATTCAAATAATAGTTATTTTTCAGGTATGACGTGAGAATATTCCAGGTTTCTGTAAAAAAAAATGCAATTTTCCCAGACTATTCCCTGCTTTTGAGAGTCAGAATAAAATTCCAAGTTCTACCTGGCCCGTGAGAGCTCTGATATAAATAACTCATCTAAATCACTTAATGTTAATGCTAAAACATGAATTAATTTGACCTTGTTTTAGACACATAAACTCTCTTTTAAAAAATATATATAATTTTAAAAAATACTGAATTTTAAAGCATATTTTTTTAGATATTAAAGAAAAATTACATAAACATACTGAAAACAATCCTCAAAAATTACGGAATTCAATAAAAATATTGAACTATAACATATCTACTGTTTTCAACAAAGGGACAATTATTAATTACATGAGAGTTTATACTTAAAGATGTATAAATTAATCTAATTAAAGATTAAGTAAGTTAATTTTGAAAAAGGCATCAGGAGTTTTTTTCAAACTTTGTAAAACAAAACAAAAAATCTGTTACCTGAAACTGTATGATTCTTTCCTGAGATAAACAAAGGTACATTCTTTCAGTATCCTTCATGTTAAAAGCACATTTATGAAGTTGTGAAACTGGATCATCAGCATCTAGAAGAGCTGTCTGTGTGCCAACTTTCTTTATTATCTGTAATAAGAATACATATGCATAAGACATATTACAAGAGCAGTGTTTTCATTACAGAAAAAAAATGAGAGAAAATTTCTCACCCTTTCTCAAAAACAGGGTGAGATCTCAAAAAGTTAAATGAGATTTCTAAAGATTAAAAAAACGCGAATAGACTTGGAAAAAAATAATTCGTTAATTATAATACATTTTTAACATCTTCTAATTTTCAAAGTATTGAACATTTCTGCTTCACCATCACATGGAAAACGTTCTATATATATTTTTTCATCAGCTTTTCTCATTAGGTTGCTCAAATGTTTATCAGTCATTTGTATAAGATATTCTGTTTTAATTCGGTTTTTAGTGCTAAATGACCTTGCAACAGATTCTAAACAATTCAGAATCACTAAGTAAATTTGTAAGTAGTATATAGGGGGGGCTACAGGACACTTTTGCCCTTCCCTATATACTACTATTAATTTCTTATTTTTATAATAAAAAAATTTAAAATAGGCCTATATTTTACATTTTTATACGAAATATTAAACAAAATCAGTATATTAAAAAATTCTTATTTTTATATTAATAATTTTTATTTTATTAAAAATCCTGTACCTTATTGAAAATATCGTTTTTTATTTTACATGTAATTCATAATCGTAATATTTATTTTTACCTTTAAAATCAAAAATATATTTTCCACTATTAATTTTTCTTATAGCTTTATCAGATAATTCACCATGACATTTCGAGAGATAAAAATCTTTCTCATCATTGTCTACTTCTAATCTAGCTATAATAGAGTCACCGTATTTTGTATTTATTTTTCTCAGTGATATTAAATTATATTTACCTATCTCGAGTTCATTTAATTTGTATGTTTCAGGAAATCGTTTGAGGTCATTAAATTCTTCCATTTATTTAGNATTATTTAAATTGAATCTCAATAACTGATTACTGCTGCTGAAAATTTTGGGTTCTTCCAGGTATGAGAGTTTTCCAAGTTTCTGTAAAAATATGCAATTTTTCCCGACTATTCCCTGCTTTCGAGAGTCAGAATAAAATTCCTTGAGAATTCCAGGTTATCCCTGTTCTTCCAGCCCGTGAGAGTCCTGATATACCTAACTTTTATATAAATCACTTAATCCTAAAAAAGAGCTTGAAAACACGAATTAATTTGGCCTTGTTTTAAACATGTGACCAAACTAAAAAAATTAATGTGAGAAATTGAAGAAAAAGTACATAAAAATACTGAAAACACCCCTCAAAAATTACAGAATTCAATAAAAATATTGAAATTATCACATATCTACTGTTTGCAACAAAGGGGTCAATTATTAATTACCATTCATGAGAGTTTACAATTTATTTTGAATAAATTAAATTTATTAAAAAAATCTAATTAAAGATTTAGTAACTTAATTTTAAAAAAGTCATCATGGATTTTTTTTACAGTTCGTTAAAAAAAAATGTGTTACCTCAAACTGTATGATTCTTTCCTTAGATAAACAAAGGTACATTCTTTCAGTATCCCTCATGTAAAAAGCACATTTATGAAGTTGTGAAACTGGATCATCAGCATCTAGAAGAGCTGTCTGTTTGTCAACTTTCTTTATTATCTGTAATAAGAATACATATGCATAAGACATATTACAAGAGCAGTGTTTTCATTACAGAAAAAAATGAGAGAGAATTTCTCACCCTTTCTCAAAAACAGGGTGAGATCTCAAAAAGTTAAATGAGATTTCTAAAAATTAAAAAAACTCGAATAGACTTGGAAAAAAATATTTCGTTAATTATAATACATTTTTAACATCTTTTAATTTTTAAAGCATTGAATATTTCTGCTTCATCATGACATGGAAAACGTTCTATATCTATTTTTTCATCAGCTTTTCTCATTAGGTTGCTTAAATGTTTATCAGTCATTTGTATAAGATATTTTGTTTTAATTCGGTTTTTAGTGCTAAATGACCTTGCAACAGATGCTGAACAATTTGGAATAACTAAATAAATTTGTAGCATTGAAAAAAACGTAAACGTCTTATATGAAGAAATCTCACCTTCAGTGAACACGTGGTTGCAGAAAAATGTGTTCTGAAAGGTGTCCTGTCATTCGGGGGGGCGNGGGGGGGGGGGGGGGGCATTGTGTTCTGCTGTTTGCACCGGTTAAATTGGGAAGCTAGATAACAGGGATTCATGTTGAACATAATGAAAGATCAAGGAAGAAAAGTGAAACGAATTTTATTCAAAATGGCAGAATTCTGAAATTGATTAATAGAGTGTGCGATCTTCTCGCGTTAATAATCTTTTAATGCAAGAAAAGAAAAAAATAAGCGAGGTTCTCATGCTGTAGTGAAAACACTGAAGAGGGAGATGCATGGACATGCATGCACATTTATATCATATAAAACAAATTCAATACGTTATTTAAAATTACATTATTTAATGCTTTTTTTTTTAGTCCTGCAAAATTATTAAAGCAATAATACATTATGATATTGAATATAAACTTTGGAGAAAGTTTATTAAAATTTAATGAAAAAAAGCCTGCCTTGGAACAACTATGGCAAACATTTCTTGTTTTAAGTTTATTTTGAAACAGCTGTGAAATAATTTTGCAGAAAGCCTAAGTTTTGAGGTAGATTGAAACACTGTAAAAAAAATTTTTTTTGCAAGAAAGATTCACTTTCACGTAGAATCCATATAACTTTCAATAAAACTTATGAAATAAAGAATTCATAAAAATTCAGCTTTACAGCAAATGTAAAACAAATTAAGATATTTTAAAGTTTAAAAAGCTTTTTATTTAGACCTAAAAAAGGAACCTAATATTTTTTTTAATAAATAGCACGAAAATATTTCCCATTAAGAACAAAATTAAAACATCAGACTATAATAAACATCAAATTATATATAATGCATTAATTAACATGACACACAATCAACATTTTTCATAGTTTCAAAATAGAGTTTATTGCAACTAAAAGTAATTTTTCTTTTCTGCTTTTCAAAAAATATTAATATATAGCTTAAAAATAAAACCATATTTGTCATTTAATTTTGTTCACACTACAAAAAAGTCAATGAAGCCTAACAATAAGAAAACAATAAAGACAACATTCAGAAAGATACACAAAAGCACTATTGCATATTAAACCTAAGTTGTTAAATTAATAGAAATCACAATAAAGTTGAAAAATTACCAGTCTAGGTAATGCCATTCCTGTAACTGAACAGACTAACTTAACAGTAGAACTATAATGAATGTAACCATCAAGAACAGTAAATTCCTCAGACTCTGATTCAGTATCATCCACTACAAAACAAATTGAGCAGTGAGGAAAAATTTTTTTAACAAATATTCAGATATTTCAGATGAAAACAGCTTTACACCTGTTGAAAAAATTGTGCAGCTAATATTCATCATAATTTTGAGTTGGAGTATTTTCTCAAACTTATTTTTTTTTATTTTTTTTTTTAAGTTTTAAGGTTACTTTCTTTTCAATAAGTTAAAAACTAACTTTTAAAAAAGTAGTGACACTGACTGGCAAAACAGGACATGCTGTAGTGATATATAATTATCTATTTACTTTCGATTTTACCTTTAGTATCTCAGAACAACATATGGGGCTGCCAACTACTAAGCTTTTTGCGAAATATTTCATTGAGTGGTAGACAATCAAAATCAATTAACAGAAAATTAAAACAGACAATTATAATTTAACAGATAATTAAAAACTAAAGCCTTCAAAATTTTTGGTGAATTTTGCCAACTTTTTAAGAACTTAACAAAAAAACTGAAATAAAAAGTAATTTATATGAACTTTTGAATCTTTCATATTGTAGTGGCACGAAAAACAACTTAAAAACAAATTTACTGTGGAAAAAATCACTGATTAAAACATAAACTTAGCTACCACTGGAAGAAATTTTAACAAAAAGTGCATAAAGGGTGCAGCCCTGTAATAAAAGTCTATCTTAAAGTGAAAATTAAATAATAATAATAACAAGAACTGATAAAGAGGAGTTATGGATAATAAATGTTATGAAATTTTTGTTGCAATTTTTTAATTTTCTTACCAAATAACGTAACTTGAGAGGGGAAAACTACAAAAAAAAGCATTGTAACATATTTGTAAAGAACAGATAGCAATAATATAATAAAAAAACTTATAACCAAGTCTATTCATAGAATTGAAACTGCAATTCCACAATACGTTTTTAACACAAATGCACTTGAACATTATTAATTCTACTTTATGTTAATTACGCATGACAAAAGTGCTTAATGTTTGGCTACCAAATGATGATAACCATGACAAATGCTTGTTCGTTCTGTTTAAATCTGCTTAGATTGGAACACAGTAATGTTATAGGATATTATTTAGAAGCATGAAATACTTTTATTAAGTTTTTGTGTTTATCAAAAAAAATTATCTAAATATGCATAAACAGGGTGCACAGCCAAATCTTTCAACAAAAAATAAGCACCTTTTAAGTACTTTTTAAGCACTATAAATATTTTTTAGCACTACATACATTAACAAAATGCAAAATAATTTTCAAGGACTTTACATGATCATGATTAAGTAACTAGTTTCTGACAAAGAACTCTTTTCTTGATTATATTAGCCACTATAAAAAGATCAAGAGGTTTTTTGATTCGATATCAGAGGGTNGATATTGATTGATTTGGTGGAAGGTACAGACTGCATATTGCGATGAGTTTTGATTGAAATGCAACTTGTGCTGCTACTGCTTGCAAGGTAGTTGTCAAGGGAACAGGCAAAAATGGATAACTTTTTGAAATCAAGAGAGATACACCTCTGCATGGCTTATTTCAATGAAAAAAGTCGTTTCTTAGGTGCGAAACAAACGGGATTATGTTTTTTGATGATATTTTTGATATCTGGTAAATTAACATAAAGCCCACAACAATTCCACGATATAAGTCTATCGGCCATTTTTATTTTTAATGTTTTTTGGTTTAAGGTTTTCTGGAGTTTCCAACCCTTTTTCTATTTGCATCTGAGAGTTTTGAGAAGCATCTGAGCAATTCTCGTCGTCTGTAATCATTGTACCCGATAAAAG